TATGTATATAATATAATATACGAAGACATATTATATTGCTGTCTATCTTTTTCTTTTTGAATTTTGTAAAGACAGCTTTACTTCCACTCTTTATTGACACACTGACTTTTTTACATTTCAATTACATTTGTACTTTTTTAGAGTAAGCACGAAATTGGACATTCTATCACTTCTGTTTTTGTAACTCACCGGTAATCGCTGTTTCCCCCAATCCCACCAGGCCCAAACCCCCACCAGGAGCCAGGCACAGACAAGCTTGTGGGGCTGGAGGCGGAGGTGTTGAAGTTCGGGGAACCAAACTCTGGTATGGCCAGAAAGTCCGACCTGGGGCTCGGCGAGCGGTGCTTCTCTGCCGGGCTTAAACTTCCAGCAGCCATCTTAGCCAGGTGTTGCTGCTGCTGGTTATGATGTTGGTGATGCTGCTGTTGCTGCTGCTGCTGCTGCTGCTGCTGCTGTTGATAGCTGCTTGGGGTGATGGCGGATGATGGGGCTGCCCCTGAAGGGTTTAGCTGGGAGCTGGAGAGCCAGATGTGACCCGGCCGGGCTGCTAGTGCCCTCTGTTGGGTGGTGCCTGTGGAAACGATGAGTCCTTCTGTTAGGCAGACAGTACATTATTGTTTTGTCACAATGTGGTGTTTGTTTATTCATTTCGCTTGAGTAAAGAGAATCATATAGACACAATAATGGCAATGTAGTGCAGGAAAAAAGTAAGGCAGATAGACAGAAACATCAGAGGGAAAGTAAAAAAGTAGGACCTACCAGTGGCGCCTTCGTACCTCTTGCCCTACGTAGTGTCAGATATTTGTAGGTTACAGAATATAAAATGTGTCAACATTGTCGTAAATGGTATAAGTTTCTAGAAAAACACAAAAACAAGCAAACAAAAAAACAGGAAACAAGAAAATAAATTAAACATACACATTTCGTCAATTCTGTGTGCTTTTTATTTGTTTGTTTGTCTGAGGATGTAAAAGCACACTGACTAAACAATGATCGTTAGAGCAGAGAAGCAATACGTTTGACATGTCAAAGTCTATAGATTTTTTTAAAAATACCTCAATGGGTGAGGTACCCTTTAATGACCCTCTAGAATGTCAAGCAGAGGGTATCCAGGGTCACCTCGGCCTTAAAGACCTATGATCCAATCACACATGTCTTCTTCCATCTCGGACTGAGAATGGTGTTACTTTTGTATAAAATTATCGACGTACTACTTCCAGAAAGTTGTCTTGTTGAAAGCGTATTGTTTAGGGGTGAAATATGCAGGGAAAAAACAGTTGTTTTTTTTTTTTTTTGGGGGGGGGGGGGGGGTAGGGGATTAGTTTAGTGTTTTTGTGGACGTTGAAAGAATCATGTTACCGGGTGTTTAATAAAAGGACTCATTTAAAGGGCAAACACTTTGTCACGTCAGCACATATTTAAGAAATATTCGTTCAAATATACGTATTCTTGCTTGTCAGCAGAAAAATAGTCAACACCTGGAACATATAATTTAAATTGCCCCCACCTTGATCTTATAACCTGCCACTGATATCAATGCACACAGCATGAAACATCCAGCCTGAGACAAAAGGAGAAATAGCAAGGAGCAGAATCCTAGGTTAGTAGGAGGAGACATGTTCGTGATAATGGACAGTGGAAAAACAAGACAAAGTAGAACAAAACGCTGGAGAAAGAAAATTGGAACGAAAAGGAAACTTTGAAGAATAAAAAAAAGCGTGACAACCAAATAATTGAGTTGTATTAAAGTACCGCAATTAAGTTATTACATTTAAAAAATAATAAATAAATGGGTTTAAAAAAAAATATATATTATAAATATAATATGTATATATGTATATATGAATATAATATGTATATATGTATGTATGTATATATAAAAGAGCGAAACAAGTACGATATTAAAGGGCAAAAATAAAGGTATGATATTAATAGAGCGAGATAAATGTACAACATTAAGAGAACGAAATAAAAGCATGGCGTTTTCATTCCTTGGTCTCAGAGATCGTAATACCAACACCTCGGGTCAAGAACCAAAAAAGCGCAAATAAGAAAATCAAAGCTTACAAAACCCACATATGATCATAGCTCTAGAAAATAATAATGCTCGTCTGACTCAGGTTTCCCCGCGAGAAGTACGAACCCCCGGACCCCAATGCTAGGCTAATTCTAAGCATGATCATGGATAGCTGCGGTCTGGTCGTGCTCTAATTGTGCGATGGCTCATCTTACAAGCGCGACGCTAATGCCTACTTCATATGGCACCAGGTGGATCGATGCTAGAAATCAGGACTCGGCTCTCCTGAGTCTCTCTCTTTCCGAGCTGAGGGAGGGTGTCTGTGTGTGGGGGAGGGGTGAGGGTGGGGGGGTGAGAGAAAGAGAGAGACAGACAGACAGACAGACAGACAGACAGACAGACAGAGAGAGAGAGAGAGAGAGAGAGAGAGAGGGGGAGGGAGAGGGAGTAGACATGTGGATTGATAGAGGGACTCAACGAATGAGAAAAAGACAATGAGAGAGGGAGAGGGAACGAGAGAGAGAGAGGGGGAGGAGGGGGCAGACAGACTTAACACTAGCAGAGCGACAGAAATATGATATAAAACAACACAGACGAGGGGGTAAGTTACTCAAAAGAAAAAGAGTGT